TAGAACACCACCCTACTAAAGTCAGGGATTCAGTGTCAGTGCACAGAACACCACCCTACCAAAGTCAGGGATTCAGTGTCAGTGCACAGAACACCACCCTACCAAAGTCAGGGATTCATTGTCAGTGCACAGAACACCACCCTACCAAAGTCAGGGATTCAGTGTCAGTGCACAGAACACCACCCTACTAAAGTCAGGGATTCAGTAGCAGGATAACTGTGACAATATGACATAACCATATCTGAAAACAGCATATTATGCATTCTTATTCACCACAAGGAATAGTAAACATCACACAATCAACATATGCTTTATGTACTAACATTAACACAAATGTGCTTACAGTTAACATGATGACGACAAACTTAAATCTTTATGAAACCAGACCAATGAGCCAGCAGGCTAAATTGATCACTTGTGTTGCTAAGCAGCTGGTTTTCTGTGTGAATTTCGCCCGGCGTCAGACAAGACACCTTCACTCACAGTCTGCCACCTTCTGCAGAACACCCAGGTAGCTGGCACATTTAAAAACAGTCACAGTTGCATCTGCTGAAGAATCTCCTTGGTTTAAGGTATAGGTACTCTACTGCCAGGCCAAACATATTCTGGTGTTTGTGCTGTAAAACTGAAAATAAAAATATGAACTTAAAGCACATGTAGATCCCCTTAAGACTGCCAACCCAGTGTGTTGTTATGGAAACACCAAGAGCTCACAGAGGTTTTGTGTGTGAATTCTGTGAGACCCACAGACAGCACAGCTCATGTGGTGTTGTACTATTCACACTTGACTAGAACCACAACAAGATTGATAAGGTAATTTTATTAATTGGCAACAAAAATGAGAGACCTGTGATCTCTCTACCTCTCTCTTTCTCTCTCCTTCACATTCATTCACTCGTGTTTGGAGGGAGTTGTCCTTTACCAAAGACATAAGACATAAAATAGTAAATATTGCAAACAAAAAAAGTTGATTTGTTTGTGTGTTTCTGTTTGTAATCAAACTGGTAAACGACACATGGGCATTTTCTTCTCTTTGGCCAGGAATTAGTCACTCAGCAGGTCATTCACTCTGCCACTCAACAGGTCATTCACTCTGCCACTCAACAGGTCATTCACTCTGCCACTCAGCAGGTCATTCACTCTGCCACTCAACAGGTCATTCACTCTGCCACTCAGCAGGTCATTCACT